GACATTCCCCCTGGAAGCAGATTTTAATCGAGCGTCAAGCCGAGACAACGAATTTACGATCAGGCACGGCTGTTTAGCAACTCGATTTAAGGCCGTTCGACGAACCAAACGATACGGTAATTAACATAAAGTATTAATAATGCTTCTATCGTTGATGGTTCTCTTTTTTATGCCGAAGCTCCTTTTCCACGGTTTATGCGCCCATTAGATTTTACGATCAAACCGAAAAAAATGGCCGAACGATGATGCGTAGGGAATCGTCCCTTTATCTCCTATCTTTTTCTTCGTTTTCACCCTACCTCTAATCTTTAATTTTTTTATTCGCGTCTTCATTATTTTTTATCTTCCGCTTTTCATCATCACAAATGAAAAGTTCATTCTTAACATTTTCTAAAAAGTTAAATTCTTTTAAATTATTGTATAAGTTGCATTAATTCAAGTGCATCAAACCGTATATTTAAAATAGTTAAAATATGTATAATCAGTGATGATTTAAAGCAATCTGTTTTAAGCAAGCGATTGATCTTATAAAAGATCTTGCTTACCAGACATGCAATACTTGACATTTTCTGTATATTTTCTGTATGTCGTTGTAATTCAATAGAGAATGAACTAGAAGAGGAAGAAAAAAATTCCACGGAACAGTAACGAGGAGAAATGCACGGATGCGGAAAAGGGACGTGGTACGAGCTCCAGTATTTCCCTGTTTTCTAACAGAGACCATTCTCGAGAGTTGAATTATAGGAGGAACGCGATAGGTGGTCCCAGACGGGTTGACTTCTTTCGCAAGCGAGATAATCGAAGTCTAAATAAATAAAAACATTTCTCCCCTTCGTCGACACGCTCGGCTCGATCTTCTCAGTTTGAATTGAGTTTGACATCGCAACAAAATATGTTTTCTCGAATAAAACGTGAAAGTCTTCATTAGAAAGAATCTTGCGCTAATTGTGCCCGGAAAATTGAATCCCGATGAAACAAATTGGTCTTCATATATGGCGTAGTTCATAATCTGATAAATAAAAAATGTCGTGACATCAGATTCAATAATAAATAATTTTTAAGCTATGATATATTAAAAATATAAAATTTATGCTCTATAACTACCGTTCTGGAAATTCTTAAAAATATATCTTCATTACCAACACTTCAATTAATTTCAAAGAGAACACTATTGATACAATATAAAAAAAGATTATTTTAAAGGTCCGATGTACCTACTCTCAATATCAAATTGATTTTTATCAATATGGCTCTTTTTCAAATTAGTTGAAAAATAATAGGATTGAATAAGATATATTATATTTCGAAGGATTTCCAGAATATATTAAAAATTTGCTTAATGTACAGAGCATATTTCACATCTTACGCCATAACTCAAAAACTACGCATTATATCCATGATATCCTTTGTTGATTAAATTATAAATTACGTATTATATGTGAAAACACTGAAAATTACTTATTTAATTAGAACCTAATTTTCTATACAAGTGCAGGGTTCTTTCGATGCGTTAAAGAAACACTTTAAATATATTATAACAAAATCGCAACATGTGTAGCGTGTGTAACGTGTAGTCCTGCTCTGACAAACGATAATTTCAACATCAATAAATTGCCAGATCATTATTACCACATGTGATAAAGACAATTCACTACTCATTACTCACGTTGAATGAAACAGTACGAGTTATTGTTAAACTTGCATTATCACGCAAAGTAAAGAACGAGTTACAAGTTATCATACTATTATATATATGTTCAGGTATGCATTCTAGCATCGATTTTATATCAGATAGACAACCTCTTCCACGGTTGATTAGGTCGAGATTGTTGTCCACTTCACTTTCGATTCGGAATATCAGCGGGTGGGCATACCTGACAGCTGGACGGCCCGATATCTGTTCACGGTATTATTAACGTTTACGAAAATACCAACGTTAGCCGCAGAGTCGAAGGGCGAGGTCGAAGCGAAATTAGCTGTCCGATACTAATTAGCTTTCAATCTAATTCCGCGCGGAGCTTATAATCGCTGACCGAACGAAATCGGAGCCGATTGATTTGCTTCGAAAATCGAACAGGGTTTTGCGGGTCTTCAACATAAATGAATGGTTAGATCTTAATTACGGATTGAACATATAATTTCTCGTATAATTTCTCAGAGTTAATTTCAATACGTTAACTAAAAAGTGTAACAAGAATAAAAATAAGAACGTAGTATAAAATGTAGACAGAGACTGTTAAAAACAAAATTGGAATACTATTGTAACTATTTATAAAAATAGTTGTTAATATATTATAAAAGAGATCGCAAACATCGTAATAACAGACATATCGTAATAAAAATTTAATAAAATAATTAAATATAAAAGAGACACATTTTGTACTGCAGAAAAATAAGATAATTCATAATTAATGATTTATAAAAATAAACAAAACTCTGGATGTGGCTGGAGCAATAACTTTGATGATTTAAAATCATAATTTCCCGAGGCATCGTACACGAAATTCCAAGATACATTTGTACATATTGATCTCGATGTGCTTTTACAGTCGTCCGCAAATCGCCGGGAGTGTACGAGCTGAATTATTCAAAGGAACAGGATGCGGCCTCCGGGCCTTCGATATCGGCTGCGACGTTCGACGTCTCCTCGAGATATCAAGAAACGGAGAAGAGGCTAAACGGTGAGATCGAATAGAGGAAAGCGAGTGGGGATGCAAAAGGTCAAGTCCAACTTGCCATCCGTCGTGGCCTCTCACGAAAGCGTGTGTCCCACGATTGGAAGGAGAAGATCCGATTTACATATTTATTCCACGACAAAGATCCCATCGGATAGATGGAAAACATCGTGACGTTTTATTGACTGCGTTAGTAAAAATCACAATTATTATCCGCGTATCTTCTGATCACTATTCACTTAAAATATAATATCAGAGAAAAACGAAAAACAAATAAAGAAATAAATAGCCAGATGTATTTATATTAAACAGATTTTTAGATTATGTTTCTTGTCTATTTTAGATTATGTTTTTAGATTTTAGAGGACGTTCGTGAACTGATGATACAACTGGGAGAAAAGAGATTCTACGTGAAAAATTAAGTTGAAAATGTAGAATAAATTTTTTTTAATATCTATATGTAGAATCACCTCCTTCCCAGTTGTATACCTAAAATATCTTACTGTTAGATATAAACTTTACAGCGTACACTTTCCATATTTCATCATAAATTCTTAGTAATCGTATTATCTTGTTGAGATAATCTTTATAAACCTTACATTATAGTATTTTTCTTAGAATTATTGCAAATTATTGTGTTCTTTATTGAATGGATACTAATGCACAATTCTCTCGGTCGAATGCATCACGCGCGACACTCGACGAAAATCCTTTATCCTCAAATCGCCGGAGATAATTTGGTCGGTGTAGACACGGCAAATATCTGTACAAGAGATCGGAATAAGGGTTGGCGTAGCGGTGGCGGGCGGGGTCGGCGCGTGGAAAGTCTATGTAGGTTATAGGGGGACGGGATCACTAATACAGGAGATGTTTGCGAACCTGTTAATAATGCCGCGTTTGCTCGCCGGGTTATTAGTGATAGCAAACACTTAAATTGTTCTACCGTGGATTAGTAATAGGCGCAGCTGCAAAACTCTGGTCGGCTGCGCGTGAGCTTTTCTCGTGCCGAGTCATTTCGCCAAATCAAGATTTGTAAGCAAAGTGTAAGTATCCTGAATTCTAAATCATCACAAGAAATTTTGTAGTTATATTTCCAGTATTTTATTTCGATTACGCATAATTGTTTATATATTGCTTTGTATTCGGTTGACTATTTCATAATTTCTAAAAAATATCTGTAAAGTTCTATGAAGAAATATGATCTCGAAATATATTACAGATATTATATTCTTAGATTTGCACATTTGTCCTTTTAATTCTCAACTATAGCAATAGGTCGTTTAAATCCAAAGTGAAAATTTTTGGAGAATGTACAATCTGTAGGAGTGGTACTGGCAAGAGTTTAAATTGTAAGCAGAAAAAACTTTGAACCTTCCTCTATCAATCGCCGTAAGGCGTTTCGCTTACATTCTCATATATTTCAAAGAGAACACTTTAGAATTTAGATGTAGTTTTTATAATTAATCGAGATCAAAAATATATATTTTACTCCAAAAATAAATAAGTTTCGTTTCTCTTAAAATAAGCGTCTCAAAATTATTTTCTTTCCTAATTTCGACTTATTCGAAGCAACACGGTCGAATTTCGATAAGTCGTGTGTTTGTCGAGGTATCGCTTCAGCCGTGATACGATCTTACTTTCGTATAACGCATAGGGCGCGGCTCGGTATATTCTCCGGTAACAGCTCTTCCTGTAAAAGCCCTTTCCAGGGCGCGAGCAACGCTGGCGTGCGCGGCGTTATATCCCCCAGGATCCACCTTGAACACATCCAGCGAAAACCAAACTGGTTTAGCTTTAAGCACGTTAGGTACCCCTTTAATAGCTTATAGGTAAACAAAATTAACATATCTTAACAGCGTTAAGAATTTCCGCGTACCCCGCTCCACCGTTGCAGCCCCAGGCAGACGACGGGGCTAAAGGGGTAAGTTTGTTAAGTAGCGACGAGCGCGAAACCACCAGGAGGAACGATGCCGAAGACACGCGATACCAAAGATACGCGATCTTCAGGACGTCGTCTTATATTTTCCCGGGTGTACCCGGATTATTATACCCGTAAGGCGAGTCGATCTCATCTCACTGACTTTTCTTCGAAGTTTGCAAGAATTTTGTACTTAAAAAGCTTTCGATAATAATACCTCTGTGTTTTGTATTCTTAAGCTTACTTTATCTTTAGCTTCATTCTCACAGAAAATTATTTCACATAACTCCAAATTACGTTTATTTTCGGTACATCCAGAGGGAATAATATCGCGTACAGCTGAACGTATTGTCATCGTGCGACAAATGGGTGGATCAGAATGTTTTAGACTAATCCACCGTGTGGTAATCGCAAAGGACAAATTTATGTAGGGTATCAGCGTTACGAGAATAGAGAGGTTTCATAATACATTCGCGCAGTGGATATTTCTAGTTAACTTGAACAATATTGATTCAGAACAGAATGCAAAGGCGAAACGCGATGACGGATGAATATCCATCGCGATGCCGCGACAAAATATTTATTCGCGACGGTACATGATCTCGGAACATATTTTGGCATCTGTTCGCACTTTCATGTTACTCGACGGTCATAGATATATAATGATCATCCTTTGTTTTAACATATTTGCGACGAGACGTAATAAATGCGATGTAGTTAAACAGCGTTGCGTTTTGGCATCGCTAAGCAATTTATCACCATCTATCAGCCATCAAAACGGGATCAGTCGCGTAAATCGCATCTTTCTATAAATTTCCGTTGCCTACAGTACAGTTGCGAAATATATCCGAAAGCCCAAGTAGATTGGCGTGCTGACAGTTCTCGGCGTAGCATAATTCGTTCCGTCAAGTCGAACGTTACATTAATATTCTGGCAGCGTCGTCCTTCAAACGGTTACTTCACGTGATTTTAATTTCTCCACGTTTCTTGCTACGGCCGTCCTACTCTTTGGCTTGCAGATTTCACCACGATGTCCGCGATCTACGAAAAAAACTGACTTTTGATCGTTGTATATGTGCGCATTTTCAAAAATGTCATATCTTTACATAAATGTCAATCTTAGATGCAACTCTTCGTTGAAATGCATGTAATTCTAAGAGTTAACGAAAGAAAACCACGGTATTACAATTAATATTAAATATGTGAAAGGAAATTTAAAATTATTTTGGAAATCAAAATTTAAAAAATTTACTATGAAAAGACGTCAACATTCGTAAAATAATGGAAGTGAGAACTAAAAAAGAAAAAAGAGTGAAGAAAGAAGAATGGTCTCGCGACGACTGCAGAGGTTCGAGCCGAAGAGACACAAATGCATCGCGATGAAATACTCAATGATAGTACATTCACAGTGGATCGTTATGGTAGGTCTTTATGCTCACAACAAAGCATAAATATGGTTGATTCGCCTAAGGCTGCCTTTGTACAGGTTACACTGATCGAGATATCTGCGTAGGACGTGTGTGGGGTGCACTATTCTGTCGCGGAGTATCCCAGACGGCACGTCGACTACCAAAAATCAGAGAAAACGAAAGTGAAAGCGATTGTAAACACGACTACTTCCACGTACTTCACACTCCACGAACAGCGCGTTAGAAAAAGTGTTGCATCCTAGGAAAACACAACCAAATTCTACTGCTTCAAAATAATTCGAATAACAATCGTTTGAATCGCAATTCATATTCTTATCGTGATTAAAATCTTTAAAAATAATAGCATGGTGATTAAAATTGCGTTCGCGGGAAGACATTAAAATTCGATAACATTAGTAAGACAAGAACGCTCTTGGAATATAATGACGGACGAAAGCGCTCTCGATAACTATCGAGAGTATGTATTTCCAGTCTCATGAGTCATGAGTGATGACGGTATGTCGTCGTTGTCGGGTCGTACAGACTCTCTCGGCCGCGGAGAGAGTCAATGCCAGAAATAATATCGGTATACTCGTACGTCGGTAGAGGCGGGGGTGATGTCCTAACATCATCGGTTAACGAACTATATTTATCCGGTGGGTTCATCCGCGGCTTCTTTCTCCTCCCTCCCCTCCCGCCGTCGCATCTCCTGTTCCTCTTCTTGCTTCTCCTCCTCGTTGCCCCTCAACTTGTTCTTGTTCCTCGGCGTCCCTTTCTCCTTATGATCCTCGCCTCTTTGTGACAGACAAGAATTCGAGATACACGAAATCCGCACTTTCCAAATTGGCGCATTCAACCTTTTGGGTCCCCAGAATTATTCATGAGCCCGCTGAAAAGCCAACCCGCGACGAGTCGTGATGGTATTAAGATGTCGTGCGTATTTGTTGAAATATTCGCGGTGCGCTAGACATGCACACGCGAAAATTCGCGTGTGCAACCTTGTGCGCCAGAATTAATTCCGAGTCCACTGTAAAGCCAGCTTGGAGCGCCGAGCGATTATTTCGAAACGCTGGAGTGTGACGTTAAAGAAAGCGTAATGCGAATGTTCGCGGATAATGTCTCGAGATTCGGAATGCAGCTTTACGCGTTGATGATTGTCAACCGCCAGTTACGCAGCATTCTTGTGCATTAAATCATGACGAGTTAAGCCTAATGGAATAAATTATAGCGTCGTTCGATAAATTGTTGTATAAAATAGAAAGCGGGATGTTACTTTCGCGGCTTTACGATTTGATCGTGAAAGTTCACGGTATTCACACGAAAAATTAGAGTGCCTGAGGCACATTCTCGATCGCGCTTACGTTTTTGCAAATATCTCAATACTTCTTATGCAATAAAACCGAGATACATATAATATATAAATGACAGAGTCGCGAGAAAGTAAAATCAGCAAGATATTAGACTATATATACATATATATATATGTATATATATATGTATATATTTTAATCGTCACTGACTTGACGGTTGATTTATGTTTTATAGGACAAAGAGAAATCATTACGCCTCGGGATACAAATGCATAACTTTTAGATTACCATGAAATAAGGATACCCATGAGGATTGAACGACTGTTACTACATCTCGAGTCAAGCTCGAGCGGAGGAAGCTCGCTGGTCGATTTGAAGAAAATAAAAGATGGCTAAAAAACTGAAAAAGCCCAAGTGACATGTACGTATTTGTTATCCCTCGATCGCCAAAGGGCCCCAGATAAATACGCAGCCCCCTACCATTACGGGGAGACTAAGGGGTTATACGGGGGCCGGTGATAAACAGTGTCGCTCATTCACAATGGCCGGCGAACACGCATTAAAGCGGACTAATATGAAGTGTATTAATGCGTGCGGCATTGTCTAACCCATGGCGTACACGGCTACTGTCATGGGGCCCAGCTTTATCCCGCCGTGGGGGGCCCAGCGGTGCCCGCGTATGTATACGGAGTCTCCTCGATATACCGGTGACTTTTTAAGGAACCCCGCGACGAGACCGGGTGGGAGGTATTTACTTATCATTATGTTGATTTTATTACCCCGAGATGCGACAACCATTCCTCGAAGAAGCGTTACAAATGCGTTTTGCCGCTTCGAATCTGTAATCTGCGAAAGAATTCCTCTGTACGGTCGGAGGTAGCAAAGAACCGATAGTAATCGAAAATTTTTATTAGCTTCTTCTTAGTCGATCTCGTTTGAACGCATGATACGCGAGATAAATGCTATAAACGAGTGATGTATGATGTAAAAAGAACTGCAAGAATCTCTCTATAGGCCTCGTCGCCAGGGTATTATGTTATTTCGCGATTGTAGTCGTGGCTGTGGTGGTTACTTGTACGATTTAATATAGCGACTATACATGATAATAAAATATGCGACAGTTAATTACACGTGACTTTAAAGTATACAATGTAGTAAATACGTATTATTACTAAGAATACTATTCGTATTATTACTAAGATATTAATGTTAATTTTTTGTTTAAGTAATTGCTTCTAAAAAATTAACTGCCTGGTTCTTTTTCAAAAAATGTAGTATACATTGATGAATAAACAGACATCGGAAAAGACGAAAACGACATCAGGAACGTAAAAATGTAAAGCGCACCCCACATATGGGGCCGATCGCGGGGTGCTGCAAGATAGTTCTGCCCACTGGCTTAAATTATGGGGTCGCCAGCCAACTCGCGCCACGCATAAATGATTGCTCGTGTTATGTTAAACATCCGGGCATGGAGAGCTGCCCCGAGAGCTCACCCACGAGACATCCGATGGAAGTGGAGGAGGAGCGGTTGGATAAAAGAGGAAGAGGTGGAGGCAAAAGTTATTTATCTCGAGCAGTCGCATGAGCAAGGATTTTGAATAATTTCTACCGGTGGAAGAGCCGAGAATGTTACCCCGTAGGGCACGTCAAGTTATCTATAGATACACTTTAAACTTAAATAATATTTCGAAACCGCGTAAAGTCTTACAACTCAATCTTCATAATTTCTCTTATTGTTAGCAGTAATCGAACATAAAAAATAATAATCGTTTTCTCTCTCTCTCTCTCTCTCTCTCTCTCTCTTTCTCTAACGAAGTGTACTTCGCTAATAATATATCTGGATGTACATATACTGATCCTTCATAAATTGTAAATTCTTATTAATTTGTTAATGTAACATTTACATATATTAACTGTATCACAATGCAAATCGAAAACATTAAATCAAAGATAAAGCGACTAATAAACCATCCAAAAAGGAATTTAAAATTAGCGGAATCAATGCCGCAGAATGCTGAGAAACTCAGTTGTAGAAACACGAATGCCCTAGAAATACAAGCGGCGATCGGCCCGAAGATCAGCTTGGTCAGTGGTCAGTGAAGAAAAAAGACATATTAGAGATATCATAATGCCAGAACGAAACTGTGTTCCAATTTATAACTGGATGATATCGCGATAGAGGCTCAGGTTCGAGGCATTGTGTTTGGTACGGATTCGTTCTTGACGTTGCAGCAGGCATCGACTGCCTGGGTGGGGTCTTGGTTCCTTGGTGGGCCTAACTCAGAATATCTTTTTGATATCCTGTTAACTAATGCCCGCTATTCGTTACTGACGTACGACTGGCAAGATCTATGTTTTACGTATAAATAATAGCTTTCTCGTAAAAGATTCGCCACGACTTTAATTATTATGCAACATTGATACATGGAAACTCTTTCATTAAATACATGTTAATTTTTTTGAGCGCAAAAATAAAATTAAGAATCATTATATCTTGCGTTATCTTACAGATTTCTAGAGATAAAATCATAATCTGTAAAGATATTTCCAGATGTAATTTTTTCTGCCATTTTATATATAAAGTAATTTTGCAAAATCCATTTTATTATTATTATTCGCTCTATCTTTTATAAAACTACCTATGATTATCAGTAATATCGTTTCCTTTTTTTCTTGATTTTTTTGCCGTATTGCCCGACATTTAATTGTAGGACATTTGTAATCTTTTTGTTCTGCCACATTTACGGTTTTATTGTGTAACAAATGTTCGCAAGACTGCAGCCAGTATGTTTACGACTGATGCCTGAGTCCGGTAGTGTCTCTATATTCGGTTTCGGTTCTCGACCGCAAAAGCTGCTCAACATGTATCAGTGTCCACGTACGACATGTGTGCAGACGTCAGAGGAAGAGGAGACGTAGGTGAGGCTAGGTCCGGTCGAGAACGAGGTGCCTGCATTGTTGCAGGTCCATTGTTAGGCCTGAGTCAGAGAAGAGAGGTAGGCCTGGCCACATTGGTACCGCCTACTAGACTGACCCCGACGTGGAAGGACCAGGCCAGCGACGTCCTGCCTCTGCGATGATCCGTTGCCTCTCATTAGATTTTCAAATTATTAAGTGCAAATTATTTGATCTACGTGATACTTATTTATAATTAAATATTGAATCTCTTATTGATTTTATATTGGTTAACAATATATAAATTAATCTCCTTTTTCGTAAATAGAATAATTAAATATGTTTTTAGTTGTAATTAATGTCTCATATCTATTTCCAAAATAGTTTTCGAGTATAAAAGAAAAAAATTCTGAATGTAAATAAA